GGTATTCAACCTCGGTTTAGCTCGGTAGAAAGCGCGTCATCAGTAATGCTTCCAATGACAAATTCGACAGCATGTTGTTGTTCAGTTGGATTTGGTTTGACTATTTTTCTAAACATCTTCCAAATATTTGATATATATTCAGAGACACTGTCTGCATCATCAGTTATGTATCGCCGAAACTTGAAAACAGAAAAGTACCTTGTTTCTGGCTCGAAAATCTGGAGCATATCATCTTTCATTTCAATCCAGGTAATCGTTTGAAGTAAGCAGCCATCAGCCTAAGAAATAATTACCCATCTGTAGAGTGTGCGACACCCCACTGATACCTGCACTCCTGGAGTACGCTAGCCGATAGGTATATAACGCGAGATCTTGGACGAGTGACGGAGCTCTGCTATAAGCACACTCACTCACGGTCAAGTTGGCGTGATACAAATGAACTGAAGCCAGTGGATTACGGTGCTCTCAGAAAAATCTGTGGGCATGGGCACATTCTGAAGGTCTTGTGATGACTAGATAATGCTTATCGGTTTTCAGTAACGGAAATAGGATGACCTAGCTTTCTATGTTTATCTAATTGAGAACGCTACATGTTACATTCTAAAATTAACTTGAAGTACCCAAACGTCAGGAATTAAAATACTTAAGTTAAATTAAACAAAATAAAATCCGAAAAATAGTTTTATTAAATGTCTAGTATTCGTGTAATAAATCATTGAGTACAAAATTGTTTAATTTACTAAATCGAATAATCTTACTTCTAGTAAAAAATCATTGAATTATAATTACCGAGTACAGGTAAGGTCATTTATAGGTATTGGTGTTAATGGTGCTTGTAGGTTTTCTACGCTAGTAGTACGCAGATATTTTCGCCTTTTGGTTGTAGTTGGTTATGCTTTTTCCGGTCTGCCTTGTTTTTTATTGCCTGTAAAATATATGGCCGATTCATAATTTTGTACCTACTTCGGAGTTTTGCTGGTTTTAAATTGCCTGAAAACGTAATAAATTAGGTGAGTAATAATACTGTTTTTACTATTACACAATCTGGTATTAAGCCACAAAACAAATATTTCAACTAGTTACTTCTTAAAATCATGGCATATTTACTCATTCATCTTAGTCTACTTGAGACCTATTAAATGATCCTAAACACGGTAGTGTCTCGTAGTGGCATAATTGAAATATTTTACCCCACCTACTAAGTCCACCATCATGAAGGTAATATCATCACAGTGACCTAGGTCTTTATGAGCCCTTTCAAATGAGTTCAAACACGATCGTTCTATCTAGTGCCGCCACTGAGATCCAACTTTTTTACTTATTATAAGCCAGTGCTACCACAATCCCACCTGATAGTAAGTGGTGATGCAGCCTTAGATGGTAAATCGTACCATCTTAGCCTAACAAAATTCTATTCACTCTTGTCTAGAAGACGCCTAGATTGTATTCGGACGGAAAGATAGACGGCGGCAAATTATTCAACTCCTTTGCTGTACGCAATACAAAAGTCGTTTGATAGGACCAAACGATTTGCTTCTTCTTTTTTGGAAATCGACATGCATGGAATATCGACAACAAAGGGATGAAGTCCCGCCGACCGCCTGGTTGTTCGATGGTAGAAAGGAGAGGGAGGAATTAAAGCATGTAATTCCTGCACACACTCACCGAAATGCATCCTATAGAATACCGAGAGACTCTACTACTACTACTCTGTGCCTGTGCTCGAGGCTGACAAGATTGGTTTCAACCAAATCAAGGTCACCAATGAGCCTCTTAGCACATCTCTTCACTGAGTCCCACGCTGCCAGGTGGCATTTTGCAGCACCAGCCCATATGTAACAGCAGTACTCCATGCACGACCGGACTTGCGCTTTATATAAGGTAAGAAGCTGACCCAGGGTGAAGTACCGCCGTACACTTGCAAGGGCACCAAGTTTCCTTGCGACTGCTTTGGCTCTGGACTCAATGAACCGCCCATGGTTTAGGTTCGAATAATATTCAACCCCTAACAACAGAAGGCGATCAGTGTACTCCAAGGATACATTCCGGAAAGTAGGAGCCAAGATGAGCGGGCTCCTTTTAGCGGTGAAAAGACACGCCTGTGTTTTGGAGGCGTTAAATCTCATGATATTGGCATCGCCCCATTCGGAGACTGCCTGTAGTGTGAGACTCACGGGCTCAACCATAGTCTCTCTTTCTGACTGGATTTGATCCCGATTGGCCCGGGCACTTGGTATCTCTCCACAACTGTGCTGTCGTCTGCATACCCATAGATACCGGGAATGAGCAGATTATTAATATGTAGCAGGAAGAGAGTTGCGGTGAGGACGGACTCCTGAAGAACACCGGCGTTATTTCGCCAGAATACCGGATGAGCAGCCATCGACGACGACCCGGGGAGACCGTTCACTCAAAAAGTCCTTCACTCAGGCAATCAGGCCAGGGTATAAGCCGTACGCTGAAAGCTTGCCCATAACATCGAGGGAAACAGCAAGTGCTTCAGTACTGTTCTAGAGGGCTTCGCCCCATATGTGAGTGGCATACGCTAGAAGGTCCCCAGTTGATCAATTTCGGCGAAACCCGTAGTGGCGATCACTGACGAGATGATTTTGCTCTAGGTATGCCATGAGGTGTACGTTCAACATACGCACCATAATCTTGTAGAGTATGGAGTTAGGTGGGGAATATAACGACACAGATTTCACCAGATAGTGCTCAGAATTTTCCAAGAATGAGGTAACCTGAACATCGTACCTGTCTGGATCGGTCGTGAGCAGAAGGTCGAGGCAGTTGGCTGTGTGCCCATCCACATCAGGTACCCTAGTCGCTTGTTGTACCAGCTGGAACAACCCCAGCGACAAGGCATAATTCCACGCCTCTCTCTCAGCGTGGTCAGTCTTCTGGTATGGGAACAGCCAGTCCTGATGACAGACATTAATGTCCCCCAGAAAAACCAACTGTGAATTAGGGTACCGATTTATAGCCACATCAAAGGCTACACTGAGGTGTTCAAACAGTTTAAACATGCTGTTCACAGACTGCAGACTTCTTGGAGAGACGATTTTTCACATCAGCTATGTGTTCTTTAATGCGGGTTTTTATGGATCTTTTACTTTTAGTCCTATATAAGAGAGACCACATTCACAATCAAGCTTGTACACTCCTGCATCTTGCAGAAGAATATTACACTTGACTGATGGTAAAAAGTGACTAGTCTTCTTCGGCGGCCCCGTCACTACATCAGATTTGATAGACCACAAATCCTCGCTAAAGAACACCGATTCCTTCCAAGGATGATTCGCGAGGCTATTGAAATCAAAAAACATCCTAATTTCAATAGAGAAGATGGCTGGGTGCTACCATCTGCTTGGGATCCCATAATTAATAAAATTAAATCCCAACCCAAGCACACAACTGTTAGACTTCATAATACTGTAAGTTCATACTGCGTAGATCGGAACAAAAATTAATAATTTTTAATCTGAAGGTAGCCGTGGTTAACTATGACATTGGGACGTCATACACCTCAGTCCTCCCCGTGACCATGGGTGCTGAAAAGTGCTCGAAACGTCGGGAATATAAAAAGGTTAACATACGCGATAAAATCCGTAAAATTAGTTCTATTAAACATTACTAATATTCCCTTAAAAAAAATGAGTCCAAACATGATGTTTCTACGTAGTAGCATCACTGAGAACCTTTACCCACCTACTGACTCCACCATAAGGAAGGTGACATCATCACAGTCACCTTGGTCTCCATACTTCGTCAAACAAACTTCTCTAAATGTATAAAATAGTATAAAATCTAAACAGCATGGAAATAATGTAAGTAGCTACTAAGAAAGTACTACGTACGTCACTTCAACTGAGCTGTTTAACTGACAGTACGCCCGGAAAAATCAGTTAAAAATTTCAACTTAAGATTTCACACTCACGGTCAGTTTTTGCATGTTAGTCAGGTAAATCAGTTTAACTGACCGTGTGTTGCGACTATAAGTCCATAAGGGCGTATTTTACCAAATCTAAGAAATGCCTTGTGACAATAATATTCGATTCTTAAGAGAAATCGATATCGATTACTTAGAGTTGGTAATCATTTATTGTTTCGTCTAATACTATATAGATTAGAAACATATAACTCAAAACACATTTATCAGTTTCTTTATATTTATTGCTTACTGCTAATTTTTGAAGATAAAGTTACATTAAAATTAAAGACTACTAGATAAAAACAAATTTTTTAAATCACTTTCACTACAAATAGTTGAGCTGTGGTCGCCATTATCGTTGTTTACATACATTAATTATTATTCGATTTTCTATAATGCATTCAAAATAAATTTTTATGGGCGACTATGTTCATAACAATTTTCTTTGTTTTCTCCATCATTTTCATCCAGTGAGCCCTTATGTGTAAGCCGTATTTTCTGCAAATCCTCCTCTGGGATTTTTTCATGGGCACATGCTATAATATTTTGTCTGAGACATAGTCTAGTTGACGATAAGTCATGTTTCATAATAAATATAATGTTGTCCCGATTGGTTATATTTTTAATTTCTCGTAAAAATGTTATTTTTTGCATTCATGTCTCTAAATAATTATTTTGCGTTTGTGAATTGTTTGTAATGGAAGCTAATCCCTTTTCTTGCTAGCTAATTGTACTAGCAAGCACTTTTTAAACGTAGAAGAAAATAATTTTTGCGCGCTTCCTCGAAATGAAATTTTTGCTTTCTTTGTTTTTCTTTTGAAGTTCTAATATTATTACTTGATGATTGTTCTATTATTGCTCATATTATATGTGATGACAGTTACCCAACTGCTAAGACATTCATCAATCAAAAAAGAATAGAATAATTATTGCGCGCTATATATATATATAACGCTTCCCCGGCTTCTTGTTGCAATTCCGTCCCCTTTCACGAAATCACTACCACAGATTGCGGGAAAGCGAGAGAAAAGTTGTTACACATCAATAATATATTATTGTTTGTTAACAGATGGGAAGTGAAATACATATTGAAGACTTCTCTCATTAAAGGGTTCTCGACTGCTCTGAGCGTGTTCTCGGAGCGTTTCATCCTATTCTCGGCAATCGTAACATTCGTCTTGTTGGGCGGTAATATTCGAGCCGAAATAACATTTTCTCTAGTGCAATACTTCAATCTTTTGCAGCTTGCTTGCAACGTATATTTCCCAGCTGCTCTGGCATTTTTGGCGGAATCCAAGGTCTCCGTGCGAAGATTAGAGGTATTTTATACAACCGTATACAAATTAAATATATTAAACTTTTATATACTAAGTAAGATTTCTTTCCTTATTTTTCCAGGAATTCCTCTTGTTAGATGAACTAAAATCATTTAAAGCCAAGGAACTTTCTTCTGACTCCAAAGGCCCAATTACTAATGGCGTGGACAAAGAAGAACAATCTGAGAAGTACAAACCAAATCCAACAGGGTTGATACTGACCAACGTTAGTGCCGGTTGGCCGCAGAACCCTATCGTAGATACTCTGAGAAATATAACGTTGAATGTAAAACCCGGAGAGTTTGTAGGTGTCGCCGGTTATGTTGGATCAGGAAAGGTTGGAATTATAAGAATAAAGGTTGAATAATTTTTAATAAATTCTGAATATAAAACATAATTATTTTTTTTCGAAAGTAATAATTGGGGGAGAATATATTTTACAACAACGTCTATTAATTTTAGTATTATCAACAGCAAAATATTAATTCTTATTTTTTTGCAGTCAAGCCTGTTGCAATTAATTCTGGGTGAGTTAGAACCATCCCACGGGACCATATGTTTAGGAGGTGCGAGAATATCGTACGCAAGCCAAGAGCCTTGGCTATTCGATGCTACCGTGCGTCAGAATATTCTGTTTGGACTGCCTTACGATCGAGTGCGTTACAAGAAGGTAATAATGACATTTGTGTTGACTGGGCTGCCTAGGCACCCCAGCGTAAATATATTGATTTTAATTTAATTACCACCCCCGTTTTATTATGCCCTTCGTACCTAAACCACATAATATTTTAAATATATTATAAAATAGATTTAACTTACAATAAGCAAATTTAGCTGACATCTTCTAAAGTAGTTAATCGATAAAAAGTATTGCAATTAGCTTAATAAATAATATGTAAAATAATGTTATCATTCTGTTATACTGACAGAAATCAAATTAAATGAGATTAAGATTTTAAAACTATTATCTGTGGCCTAATTAGCTAGTAAAATTTGTTGATTATGCAAAATACTTTATTACACAGTAGGTATTTTTATTACAGGTTAACGATTAATATTATATTTAATATGTCGTCGTATGTTTTAACTATTTATATTTTTGTGTTATTATATTTTTATGTAATTATTATTGTAAGTTAAGGTGCGATGTGTAATTGTCAATAGGTAGTTTCGGCATGTGCATTACTTCATGATTTTGAGTTGCTGCCGGTTGGTGACGCAACATTGGTGGGTGAACGAGGCACCAGCTTGAGTGGAGGCCAACGCGCCCGTATTGGTCTAGCCCGAGCTTGCTACAGACAGGTTAGTACAACCACATGAGTAAGAGGCAGAGGCAAAGCTTCTAAGGAGCTGTGAAAATGTTTACCTATTTTGGTAGGGTTGGCACAGGATGATGAAATTAAATAAACATTATGTTTATCAGTTTTTAATGGATACTTAAGATAGAATATTTCTTTTAAAAACTACTAGTTCCAAATAGTTTACATTTATAATTATTGTTCTTGAAAAAATTTAACTTTTTAAAATAATCTTTTGGAAATCACTCACATCGCATAACAAATATACAATCTTGCACACGTTTTAATATTTCACTACCAATACTTACAATGTTTCTTTCGAGGTCAAAATAATCGCGAAGTTTTTGCTCAAGAAATTCAACAAATGCGATAAAATTGGCAGGAAATTTTATTAAAAAAACCCCGATTGAACATTATCTATTAAAATCATTGTAATGGCTAAAAAAAAGAATATTTTCCTATATTTATAGGTTGTTCAGATCTACTGACGTACAATTTTATTTTCTCACATTTGTAGTGTTTGAGAAAACATTCTCTATACAAATATCCCGACACATGGACTAAATATTTTTTTTTCTGGCTGCCTCGTTGCCGCTGGATCCACTAAGTCCCCTTATCCATTGCAAAGTCACATTGTTGTGTTTACATACCTCATTTAGTCATTGATGGCATTCATATATTAGTCTCGAATTTACCACATTGCAACTCAGAGCTTGTAGTAATGCTATGCTGTCGGTCAGTATTCTGATGGAGGAGTCTTTTAGAGTTCTAGCATCTACTGCTATGGCTGATTGGATGATACCGAAACATTCTGCCTGAAAGACTGCGTTGTGGGTCCGCAGTGGTGTACATTGTGGATGTTGAGGTCTTCCGAGAAAGTTCCAGATTATGTACCTTCATTTGTTTTGGAACCATTCGTGAAAATTCTGAGTTTTTTAGGGTTGAAATCCTCCAGCTGTTTCGTTTCATTTAATTGTATCTTGTATTTCTTTATCAATCACAAATTGTTTAGGGATCTTATCAAACACAAATTGTTTAGGCCGAATCACGATTTTGTATAGCCACAGTATAATTTTTGGCGTCAGACCCCATCGTTTACCAATCAAGTTTTTGCATTGCCAGAAAGTTATACTAGCCTTCTTGGTTTTGTTTTCTATGTGCGTATTTTAGTTCAGTTTATTGTTCAAGGTAAACCTAAATATTTTACCTCAGAGAATAGATGGAGTTTTGTGCTGAAGCGACTTGCGAGGTGATAGTTATTAAGCATCCGTTTTTGTGCGAACATTACTAGAATCGTTTTATTTGGGTTAACGGTTAAGTCATATTCTCTGCACCATCTCTCTACTATACGGAAAGATGCCTGGTTCAGGTCGCACGCCACGCTTGCTGTATTTCCAGAGACCAGTATTTTCAGGTCATAACCTGTGTGTTTTGTAATGCTACGGCATACATGTCTCTGGAACAGAAATTTGTTAATGGTTGTGCACAGATATCTTTAGTAGTGTAGATGGTGGTAGTCGAGGCTTGTCGTGCTCAGAGTTTTAGAATAACTTACCTTTTAGGTTGTTAAGCCTTTGATTTTACCAGCCCCAACGAAGGACCACGCTCTCACGGAATACCAGCGTAAAATAGCAGCTTAACACTACTGTGTTTCGTATGGTGAGTGTAGAGAACCGGAGACCCTTTTTACTGGAAAAGAGGAATTCCATCTTAGTCCTCACGGGTGACAACGCATCTGCATTTTGATTCTTAATCGAGGATAAATGAAGATGTCTATGGGACACATCAATCTCTTACCATCAGATGGACTGGGTGATCGTTTGTCACCCTTATCCAATAAAAGAAAAGAAAGTTGCGGAGAGTACAGACTCCTGAGGAACATCGGTGTTAGTCGCCATAGGATCGGATGAGCAGCCATCGTCGACGGCCCGGAGAAACCGTTCACTCAGAAAGTCCTTTACCCATTCAATCAAACCAGGAGATAAGCCGTACGCTGGAAGCTTACCCAAAAGGTTAGCATGCCAAACTCTGTCAAAGACCTTCAAAGGTTTGCCTCTGAAGAATCGGCCAGACGCATCAAGGTCTTGGCTACTTCAAGCCTTATTGATCATCTTCCTCTGGATACCTACGAGGATGTCGTTAACTACTTCTTTTGTGATTTGATCCTTACGCGCACACGTTAGGGCAACACACAATTCAGCTTTAACAGCGGAAGCATAGCTGATCTTTGCAGCCGTAGATTGCATTTTAAATCTCATCGTTTTGTGCTCGCCTTTCAGCGAGGTGGTCTCGTGTAGCCTCCTTTTGGCTGCTCTTTCTTTCTTACCATAACGCTTGGCCGATCTCTGCTTCGTAGCGGATTTCTTAGAATTGGTTCCTGCAGACGTACCTTCGACTTGGGCTGGATTGTTATTCTTTCCAGTTTCAGTGCGGCTCTTGGGTCCAGATCCAAACAGCACAGGAACAGCAGCTGCCCAGTCTCCTTGGTATTAATTTTCTGACCAGTCAACTTGGCCCTTTATTCACGGACTTTCTCTCTCTGCTTCCTGTTCTTCTTTACCTTTTTTCTGCTCCTGGCGGGATAGATCCACTTGATGGTCCGTCGGGTCAGCTAGTCACCTTTTGGGTGCCTTGTTCTTTTCCCTTTGCGGCTCACTAATTGCCAGATAGCTGAGAAGAGGTCATCCGTTCTAAGGGGATCCACAGGAGTATTGCTATTCGTGGTCCCTTGTTCCTTATCCGCACCCAGCTCTGAGGAACTTGTTTAGGGAGCCTCTAGCGCGGAATTTTCTTTAAAAGGGCTACTTACGCTAGATGACGTGTTCTGTGGAATCGCCATTTTACTGGCGTTTCCTTCTTGTGAGTTGGTGCCTTTGGTAGTCACCTCTGACACCTCTCCTTCTTTTATGTTGAGCCTTAATGCGTTCATTATTGATTTAGTTTATTTTATTCGTCCCCCCCCGGCTTTGCACCCTCCATGGAGCCCGCACCTTTGGGAACGACCTACCTTAAAATAAAAGAAATTTCAGACGTTAGAACTACCAGGGAAATATAGGTACGCGAAGTTGGCGGACAGCGTGACATGGGGAGCCACCTGGCAGACAGGGCTGAAAGACCTATCCCCGGTGCCTGAATAACTGTCACTTGCTCCGACAACGTGGCCTTTACCACCACTTAGCCCTTTTCAGGTAACTAGACAGCCCCCACGTCCCTCGTCTGCGACCCTCTGAAGGGGCGCTTGGCCATTTCCTTACCTGTGGCTAGCAGATAGGGCCACCGTTTGGCAAGCAATCCGGACCAAAGAGGGCGTGTTGTCTCTCGCCAGTTTATACCCTAGTGACGATTGGCTCAACTCTCCAGGACTCCTTCATCCACGCATACGGCGCTCGACTGCGCAGGTCTTAGTGCAGGTGGGTGTGTTAGTTCACCGGATACACCCACTGTCTCCGGCGGAACTATCAGTCTTTTAGAGGGGATTTAGTCCCTCACGGCCACTGAATTGCCGCTCCAAGATCTATAGAAAAATTTTTGGGTGAGTCTTGGTGTTGGGTTAATTAACCGTCGCCCAAGGTTCGGTGTTGACTCCTTTTACGGCTGCATTTGTCACTTCTAGCCAACCCTCCTCTTTTATCCGGGCTTCGAACCGGCTACACCAAAAAAAGTGTGGTGTACACGAATGCCATATGCAAAATTTTTTTTCTACTTTATTACTTCATCCATATTATATACTTTGAAGTCTCTAGAACTTGCGATTTTTTTTTTAACTGGACTTCAATAATTACATTTACCTTATGTTTTAGAACATCACTCGTTGCACTTCATTGTAATTTCAGAATATAAATTGTCAGGCGCTAATGATATATATACATAAGAATTTAAGGAGCATGATAATATAATGATCAGTAACATTGGAAAAAGGGTTCTCTTGTATAGGATCTAAAAGGTCCATACACAATATAAGACTAGCACCACCTGTTTTTCATAAAATATAAGTCCTAATCATGTAAACGAGTTAAATTATTTACAAAATTATTTTTCAAGATACATATTATTATGATGTGTGTCTGAATATGTAAATATGTACAGATTAGTAACTAATTTAACGACAATGGCAGGACCATAAATTATCAACTATATAAAAAAGCTATAAAAGTAAATATATATCTGTTGCAAAGATCTCCATGAAAGAAAAGTTAAGATTGCGTGCGTGAGATTAGAGAGACGAGACACAAAATAATACGTAGTAGCCCTCGGCCAGGGCAGTCGGCGACGGCCCGTTCCAAGCCCCGCGCGCCTCTCAAGGCCCCCGCACACATCCATACACCCACACATAGCCGCAAGCGATTTTACGTGCACACATGCTTAAGTGTCGTTTCTTTTCACGTAGTGTATACTTTCTTTGACAGTGTGCTCTATGTGCAGTTAGATGTATTTTATTTTCATGCCTAAAAAGGTTTGCTACCGAAGTGAACTTGCGGAGGAAGAGGTTTACAAGGAAAAAGCGTGCTTTTGCTTTACTTGTCAGACAAGTGTCAATCAAAGGTATCTGTTACATACTATATTTCGTGTGTAACAGATATAGATAAATGATAACTCCTAAAAGAAATGATTGCTTTATTCAAAGTTTTTTCATAGGCAGATCTATACCTTTTGGACGACCCGCTGTCGGCTGTGGACACTCACGTAGGCAAACATCTAATATCCGAGTGCATCACCGGCCTCCTGTGGAACACCACACGCATCCTAGTAACCCATCAGCTGCATCATCTTAAGGCAGCCGACAATGTCATAATTCTACGCAGTGTAAGTACCTTAAATATTACCTACAAATGTGTATATATGTACATATAAATAAATATAAATACTTTTGTTTGTAGTTACAAAAAGCAGGAGATACTCAATAAAACTATACCATATATATGTATGTTACCCTACATATTCGTTATTGTTTGGATTCGGATATTAATGTGAACCGGTTTTAATGATTCTGTTTTTGTTAAAAAGGTTATATTATACTCAGATATACTGTAGACGTGGCTGTGGGTGTTCCAATACATATTTGAATATAGCATTTCACCTCTAAGGGTTGAAAAATAGGGGATGACGTTTTTAATGTTATTAGATAACAAATCACAAGGCAAATGTAAATCCAAATTGTAGCAAAGGCATAGTCAAAAAATAAGCATTTAGTTATCAACTGCAGGCAATCGTGTTGTGAGGTCCGGGTAGGAAACGCGGGCGGAATATTTTGCTTATGTATATAGGGCAGAACGCTCCTGAACGACCGAACAACCATAAAACAAACAGCCGTTCGGGAGGACTGCGGCAGGACTTTTACATTGTAAATAAATTAGAATGTATATATATACATATAAAACATCACAATCACACCTCTATACCAAAACCTACCTTCTTCTAATGCTTATACCGGGTATTAGTGAAACGCTTCCGAAAATGAAGACAGACGATAAGAAATCAGAAAGAAAATAGATCCCGAGGAAAAAAATCGTCTTTTCACAACGTTTTATTAACTTAATTTACGCTCCATCGTGTTAGTACAGCTAAATGAAACGATAATTTCATAAAAATACTCAAACATAAAATCAGCAGTGGAATTACAATCAGCTGATTAGGGGTCAATTGACGCACGGACGCCGAATTCACGCGGCCCGCAGCTAGCGATGGTACCACAATACCTAATAATTTACAACACTTGTCTAAAATACCTATCTTATCTACTTAACCTACAATTTTGCCACTGTGCTTGTCTCCACCTAGCCACTTTATTCACAGGTTAAATAAACCAAATACCTGGTTCGATTCCGCGCTAATAAAAAAACGACTTAAATGAAATGTCAACAAGGTTAGAGTCATGCTTTTTTATCCATCGTGTAGGTATGTTTATTATTCTGATGTATTCAGTTATTTTTTATTTATTTTTTTATACCTATTCAGATGAGTTCAATATTAAGTGTAATAGTTATTTTAACGTGGTAGAGCCATGCTGCAGCTATATTACTGGTATAGCTGTAGCACGAATGGGTCGGCTGGACCGGGGAAGGACCACGTTCTCACAGAATACCAGCGTAAAATAGCAGCTTAATGCTGCTGTGTATCGTATGGTGAGTGTAGAGAACCGGAGACCCTTTTTACTTAAAAAGAGGCATTCTATCTTAGTCCTCACGGCGGACAACGCATCTGTATTTTAATTCGCAAACGAAGATAGAGGAAGATGTCTATGGGCCACAGCAACCACTTACCATCAGGTGGACCGTATGCTCGTTTGTCACCCTAATTCTATAAAAAAAAAGTGATTTAAAAAAGATGAGGTATGAAACAGCTTACTGATCTAAATCCTCTAAGAGATTCTCCTAGGCAAATTAACATGTTGCCGTATTCACGAGTACTATAGATGTACCTACGCGTTAGGCATTATTTAAACAAAACAAGAAAAAGAAAACGTAACAATAAGTAATAACAACAAGAATGTAATAAACAAAACGATTGAACTGTCACTTGCACGTGATAGTCAACACGGAACTGTCTAAAAAACTAAAAATAATAATCAATCCCGCCAAAACAAATGCGCACGAGGCATTCGTAATGTCCTTGAAGCACTTTGAGCATTTCCACAGACCGTTAAACCGTTACGACATTGCCAAAGTTTATTTTATTTATAAGTTTAGTTATCCCTACGACTAGTCTTCATATGGAATTTAGAAGTTATGGTTATCATTTTTAATACAATTACAAAATCAATTGTACCCTGACGCAACAAGCAGTTCTTTAGTACAAAAACTATATTGAATCTTGGTGAACCGCATCAGACGGAACCTCTCTCTGTCAGCAGTCGTGTCAGCGATGCTGAGCGGGGATTCGGAGTGGAGGGCCTTCACCTTCTGTGAATCTGTTATGATTCAGAAGGAGACTTCTAAGTGGGATCGGGAGAGGGCGGATCCCGCGCGGAGACGGCGTCACCAAGGCGATGGTCACGGCTCTCCTCTAGAAAACTGTGTTCCCCTACAAGAAACGGGGCCTCCAGGGTTGCATACGGTCGGGGCGGGGGTTTCGAACACCTAGTGATGTAACTCCCGAGAAGGACGATGACTCGGAAGTGGTCTCGAGACATCGTGGTGCGAGGGTGCTGGAAGCAGCAAATACGGCCCTCGGGACGTGCTATTAGTGTAGCAAAGCGATGGAGGGGCACCGGTTGCGTTCCGAATGGAGATCCCACGACCACTCGTATGGTTCGACGCTGATGGTGACCACCGTAGCCGGTAGGAGTCCGGCATAACCTTTTCGTTGCCCCCGTAGCGGAAGGTATTCATGAGCATTTCCCCACGAAAGAAAAATAAAAAAGGTTAGGTTGTTTTGAAAGAAATTATTAAATTACCTTGAGCTAAAAGCTGTACCGTAATCCGAAATTAATTTTTCTGGCAACACCTGCGATGCAAAAATGCTGCGTCAACTTGTTATCTGAGCTTCAATTACTCATCTTTGATAAAATATCTGCCTCAAATCGTAGTTGTCAATCATAACAAATAAAGGTCTTCCTTTGAAAATGTCCTTCAAAATCGATATGGACACGACTCAATGGTTTGTCAGTGTGTGAGGATCTCTTGGTGGATTGTTTCTCACCGCATGACACAATTCACAGCCAATCAATGTGAACTCTACCTGAGCGTTTGTACCGACCCCCATACGTATCATGTAGCATAAGCTTTCGTCTGGACGATTCCAGCATGCTGTGCAAGCCGTATCGCACACCGTTGTTATGAGGATTATTATAATACATAAATATTTGTATATTATTATAGTTACATGTGTGTGATAGCTCTTATGTGCAAGCGATCGAGACAAGTAATGAGGGGTTACTGTACGAAATCATTCTTGCTTGGCAACCGGGGCGTGTGTGCGTGTTTGCGTGCGTTCGTTCGTTTGTGTTTACGTGCGTGCGTGAGCTTGCAAGAAAAACAAATATGAGATTGTATCTACTGCTTTCCTTGCAAATACGATAAAACCTCGTTTATTCGTGTTCCGTAACCTACAATTTTATGTCAATGTTTGTTATATCAACAGGCTTTAAAAATATAAGGATTATTTATAGGATTCTAAGACATAGCTCGAGCACTGATTTTATTATTACCAAAGAGTATTATATAATCACTAGTACGGTAACATATAAATTTTCGTAAATAAATTTAAATAATCACCAGGTTAACAGTGTGTGTTTACTACGACATTTAAATGAAAACTACCTATGTAAAGGAAAGATTTAAGGTTTATTATGATAGCAATAACAGCTCATTGAAAAATGTCAAGAATACGAGTATCCATTATACATGGCATTTGTGGGCTATAACAAAGCGTTTGACTACTTGGAACACATACATTTGGGAAGCCCTGAAAAATCAAGGAATAGAAAATAAATATATAAGGATAATAAAAATGTGTATTCCAACAGCAAAGCACGAATCAAGCTAGAAGCAGAGGGGGAAATTTTCCAATACACAGGGGAGTGAGGCAGGGAGACCCACTCTCACTAAAACTTTTTTCATCCGTGCCAGAGGAAGTCATCAGGATGATGGAATGGGACAACATAGGGATTAACATAAATGGACCACATTTAAATCATTAAAGATTTGCAGATGACATAATACTAATAACAGATAACCCGGAAAGCCTTAAAACATGCTCCAAGATTTATCATGTGAAAGTAAAAAGGTGGGACTAACAATAAACAAAACAAAGACAAAGATAATAACAAACAGATCCCAAATAAGTATCTCAGTAGATAAGGAGGAAATAGAATATGTAAATTTCTATGTATACTTAGGCCAACTTATCGCCTTCAACAACCAAATGGATTCAGAGATTGAAAGACGGGTAGGCAATACCTGGAAGAGATTTTGGTCCCTCGAAGAAGTGCTAAAAGGCAATCAATATAATATTGCAATGAAAAGGAAAGTATACAATACATGCATTTTTCCAATCTTTACCTATGGGTGTCAAACCTGGGCAAACACACAAAAACAAAACCAAAAACTGATTATATGTCAAAGAGCCATGGAGAGGAGTATACTGGGTTACACAAAAAGAGATAGGAAGGGAACTGTAGATCTAAGACAAATTACAAAAATTGAAGATGTATTAGTTAAAACTAGAAAACTCAAACAGAGGTGGGTAGGCCACATGATGAGAGAGAATAGAAATAAATGGACGAAAGATATAACAGAATGGACCCCTAGATACCAAACAAAAAGAAAACGAGGAAGACAAAGAAAACGTTGGTCTGATGACTTAAAAAAGCTTGCGGGTCTAATATGGCACAGAACAACTGAAACAAGAGCAGAATGGAGAAAGCTGGAGGAAGCCTTCGTGTCGCAAAGACACGCCGACGCGACGTCCGATAACAATGACCTACTTACCTAATAATATAATATCAACTAAAATTACATACAAAAATGTTAAATAGTAATTCAATAATGTTAATAATGAATTTAATGTTAAGGTCAATTTTTCTTTAAAAGTTATATATATTAATTTGCATGTTTAATTTTAACTATGAATTGATAAATTATGTATGGGGTTGTTATAAACTAATATGCTCGATTCCGCGTAAAGAAAGAAAATGATGTGTCCTGCCCAGTTATAAGGGGACCTCCCACCCTCTCTCAATCGCGCGCACTATACCCGTCGCCGTGAATCCCAACACTACCACTCCCAGCACCACCACACTAGGCACGACACACCACTCTCGAAAATACGACACGTGTTTCGCCTCTACACGAGGCATCCTCATGTGAAGTAGACTCTGCGGAGGCTGGCCGCTAAGTGTACTTAGTGGCCTGTGGTAGTGTTGGGATTCACGGCGACGAGTATAGTGCGCGCGATTGAGGGATGGTGGGAGGTCCCCTTAAAACTGAGCAGGACACATCATTTTCTTTCTTTACGCGGAATTGAGCAAATTAGTTTATAACAACCCCATTATAATGGATTTCCGCAAAGTAACGCCTGATTCTATTAATTAAATTATGTATATTGTATTGGAAATAAAGGCTTAAGTGTAAGTTTATGATAGCAATTGTATTAGGTTTGTTATCCTAGGGAGAAATTGAAACTCAAGGCACCTTTGAAGAAGTATCCCGCTCGCCATTGTTCGAAGAACTGCTAGAGGAAGTTGAACAACCTGAGGCTGAAGACGATAACACCGCGAAGGGGAGCACACAACTTCTAAGACAGCGTAGTATGTCTATAAAGGTATAACAGAAATCTTTAAGAACTTATGTACCTACATGTCAATTTGCTACTAATACTTAAGGAATAGTAAACATGTAATGTTAATAGTTTATTGATAATACCATTTTTCATGCTATTAATGCTGTAGTCCAATCGAATTCAAAATTTGCATCAAAAAGTTTTGTTAAAAACTACGAAAATTACGTATTCTGTCGAAAATTTCGTCTATATATCGGATCCGATTGAAAGATTTTCTTTAGGACTTTTTTATATCTAAATTATGGTACTAAGGAGTAACAAATATAAGTAACATGCAATTATGACGAGAACTGATGGCGCGATGCTAGTTATGAGGATAGCTTTTGAGGGAGAGGGATTTCGAACTAACAAATATGAATAACGTCGTAAAGCTTATAGCGAGTGAGCTCTTAAACGTTTTTTGATCGAGAAAGCTGCTCTGGCAAATCATCCGATAAAACATGTCGAAGCGAACAAATAAATAGTGTTGGATAAGTGTAAACAGTATTTTTCGTTTCGGGAATGGGTCGTAATATGACCATCGTGCATAGTCTTTAGACTCTTTCTGTCACAAACGAGAAGGTAAAAATAAATAAAATTTGTGTGGAAATTTTAATATACTGCAAAAATAACAGCAGTTGAAAATGCTTTCTATTGTTTTAAGACCAACGAGGTCGTTACCGTCACCGATAATATTTTTTTATTTATATTACATATTGTAACTGACCCTACTTTTTATGCAGTCCCACACCAGTGTCAATAGTATGGTTGCGGAATATGACAATGAAAATGAGGAAGAACCCGAAGAAACCGCCGAGCTTATGGAAAAAGGTAAATGGAAGAAGTATACCAACTTAATGACACATAAACTTTTTACTACAAGGTACCGCCAAGGTTTCCAAATATTTAACTCAATTATCTACCTTCTTGTCATTTTTTAAGTAAAACTATTTTTGTACAACAACTATTCACATAATCCGGAATAGATTTTTTATCATAAGTCTAGAGAATTTACTTATGATGTTATACAATTAACAAAATTAATGTTATAAAATTATTATTATTAATGTTATACAATTAATTATGGCTTTTATAAATTCTATTGCTGTAATAAAAAAATGTATAAAAAACCTATGCCCGCGTCATCGTTGACATATAATTGTTGTTAGTAATTTATTTGTTTTGAAGTTTTATTACTTTGGGCCCAAAGAGATTTAAATATATAGGCATACTATAGAGCATATTTCACATATTTCACGATTTTTCACGTTTCATCAGCTGCAGTACTTAAAGATACTACTCACATCAATAAAAACAGTTATTTTAAGTTTTTACCTTATTTTCTAACTCAGACTCAACGTACAACTTCTTGCATCTAATATCTTTAACAGTAAAAATTGTTTTTAATGTAAAAAACCTATAGCCCTCTCCTATCACTGTAAGCGAGGATCTATGATGGCTTTTTGCTTGAAAACTACCAGATAATGAAGCCCGGTGTAAAACCACCAGACAATGAAGCCTGGTATGTAAAAGAGAAGACTTGATGTATTGCTAAACATCAACACAGCAAGTATCCTCAGCATGCTCATAAGCAATACAGAAAACCTCATTAGCATGCCAAAAAACAAAATTCCCAACCTTGCTCCAAATAAAGTAGGCTACTTAGCATAGTTGGTATATGCTACTCATTTTTGTTGGTATGGGTACAGTATCGTTGACTGTTTTACCTCCTTAAATATTGTAAAGGATTAAATCGGCATCCTGTATATTTTTTTATCGATAACCCCAATCGTCGTCAATCACTAACTTTAACATTGGTAACTAAATAGTGACGTTTACTGGATAACAGAGGGCGCTTATTACAATAAAAATAAATGTTCTAGAACAATCTACTAGAAATAATAAAATTTAAAGATTATTCGGTAAATATATGTTATATTTACGATAATAAACTGAAATCACGTTCAGTTTTTGCTTCATATCGTAACTTACAATATCTTAATGCACAACCGGGCATATTTTCTTTAAAAATATTTTTTAAATATATAAAAATGCGTCTTGACTTTTTGACGATGTCACTAAGACTAACGGAGATATATCCTATAGGACATAAGTTACAGACGACAATTTTGCTGCTGATGTCCGGTCTATTACTACTACTACTTAAATGTCTTTGTTTGGGCCTTATTGATTATATATTATAAACAACACTACCATCCCAACTCAAACAGTAATACAGTGGCGGATTTACACATTTGCCGCCAGTAGGCTATTGTAATTTTGCCGCCCCTACCGATCTTCTACAATTCGATGCCCTAGTTCACAGTCATATTAATTACAATTTTTTGTCAATGAAATTGTAATTTCATGATTTGTGCATTATCGTTCTAATTAAACCACCCTTTTCTCGTCATTAATATAATTATTGTGAACTAGTAACTTGATGTGTCAGTTCCCAGATTATCTTTACAACTCAACAATTTAGTTAAGATTGCACAAGAAATAGTTTTTGGCTATATTTCTGAGCTAATACAAGCTCAATCATGTACTTCTAATAAGGCGGGGTAAGGTATGCCTTAATACTACTTAAACGTTAAATGTTATTAAATAATTTTTATTGCGATTATTTAAAGTTTAAAAATAATATATTCAATTACAAGTAGAAAGTTTTAAAATTGCTTTTTGCGTAATTTTCTATTAGCAAAATAATCATCAATCGTCGGATGGTGATGATTCATTCATTTTGAGTTCAGACTCTATGCACAAAATAGCTAAGGTGTTTAGCTTTTCTTGACTTTAGGTAGTTTAGTTTACGATGGCTGTTTTCCACAAATCCACGTCTAAGCGCGTATTTTGCGTTTGAACAGGAGTAATGTAAGTTTTTGAGCCATGAAATCTCCCCGAAGAAGTTCAATAGTCCATTAATGTTGCAAGTAACTTCGGGGAGTGATCCAGGCATGCCGAGATGTTGACTTTAGGTAGATCTTAGATAATTTTTCAACCATTTTAAGTAAGAAAAGCTTCTCGCTTTTCTTACTTAAAATTAAACACCCGAAAAATTTGTCACTGGTGGAATAGATCCATGTGGACTGCTTTATCCAAGTTTAGATAAACATTATGAAAATGATGGGTCCGCAGGAATGAAGATAAAATTTTCAATGTTTCAGGATCTGGTTTCACCTAAATTCTTTCAGAAGAAAAGTGGCATTGAAAATGTACGAATTCTTGAACTACATAAGTCATCATCATCATCATCATTACAGCCCTTCACAAGTCCACTGCTGAACATAGGCCTCCCCCAAAGAATGCCACAAAGCACGGTCCTGAGCCACCTGCATCCATCGACTTCCTGCATATCTTACCAGGTCGTCACTCCATCTAGTGGGGGGACGCCCTACACTTCGCCTGCCGGTACGAGGCTGCCACTCGAGAACCTTTCTTCCCCATCGGTTGTCGGTTCTTCGAGCTATATGTCACTGGTGTGTACATAAGTCAGTCTCCAATCAATAGGATACATATCTTCCAAGAAAAGGGCATTTTCTGTAAGGGTTAAATCAAAAGTTTTTTGAACCAACACCTACCGTTTTTCTAATATATATATAAAGATACGAGTTTATCAATGACGACGAGAAATTTATTAGCCCTAAAAGTATCACTCGAAGTCATTTTCATTTCTTTATCATGTGTCTCATCATATATTTTTTTCCTTTCCGGTTATATTTTCCTCTACGTCTTTTGCATACTGCTTCGACGCGCTTAATTCAATCACTTTTTCTTGGAAATACTTAAAAATTTCTCGTTCAGCTACAAAGAATTGAAGAAGCGACAAGCTTTTGTGCAACATTTAGCACCCACAGTTGCCACTAAATTTTAAGAGAGGACAGAGTAAGGAACGAAAAAAGCAAAAGGTGCTTGGTTTTGTATTTTAGCCATTGTACACACGCCAGACATGTTTGCGGCATTATTATACTACGGCAAGAACCCTCTTCAGAACGTTTTTCCAATAAGTAATTATCCAAAAAATTGTGCCAGAGAAATATTAGTACGTATTAGAAATCGCACCAGGATTCAACCGAGCCAGCTTTTCTTTTGGTTTTGAATGCCAACAATGCCAACACGCAGCGTACTCCTTCAACAGTACGATCCTGCTGCGGCTCCCGTGGCGGCCGTGCCTCGCTCGTTCAGTCAATTCATGAGCATTTCCATAGATATACTACATAGGGCAGGCATTTCGATCAAACACTTAGCGAATGGTCATGTCACTCGTTTCCGCGCCACAACCAAACGCAAATTGTAAGAAAATTTATCAACCAAGTGAAAAATGAAAAAGTTTGAGCCCCAAATTCGCCGCCCCTAAAATCTGCCGCCCTAGGCTCCAGCCTACTCAGCCTGCTGGTAAATCCGCCACTGCAGTAATAGCATAGATATTTTTGTACTTGTAAAGAGTAATTCATCACGTTGAGTATTTTCACGTTATGGATCTAAATTACAAATATGTTACAATATACACTACAAGTATTGGCCGATATGAACTTACAAGCTTGCAACCGTCAATTGGATACTGAAAACATCTCTTAGTTTAAGAGGCCTATGTCCATCCTGGTCATACTTATTGCCACATATTTACCTTAGTTGCCTTTAAGCCCATAGGATGTAATGTGGTGATTGATTCTTTTACTTCGCCACAACACAATGGAAGCGTGTTTGATGGAGTTTCTGTAAGTCAGAATTATAATGTATAATGTAATTTAGGGCGCGTGTCTGGTTCCGTGTACGTGAAGTACTTCCGTGCGGGCGGCGGCTGGGCGCTGCTAGCTCTCGCGCTCGTGTCCATTTTACTGACACAGGTTGCAATCTCCATCAGTGACCTCTGGCTCACGCATTGGTAAGTATAACAGTGGTAGAGCCACGCGGCAGCTTTTGCAGTCGCACGAATGGGCCAGCTCGGACCGGGGTGGTACCACGACCTCACAGAATACCAGCGTGAAGTAGAAGTATACTTCTGCATTTTGCCTGGTGAGTGCAGGTGGCCGGAGGCCCAATCACCCCCCCCCCCCGCATTAACATGGTAGCGGAACTAAATGGAAAACTACCCCAGGAGGGCACCAGCACCCCTGGTGGCGGAGAATCCCTTGCTGAGCACTCACGCCCAAGCTACCCTACTTTATCTGAGCGTGGGTGCTCTGGCTGCCACCCGTATTCTGGATGGGGCAAAATACCGCTCAAGACGAAACCTGCTCAGGGCAAGCGGAGCAATAACATAAAGGAAACCCCTGCCACGCTTTCCGTGAATTTTTGCAATATCAAGGGACTTCAGTCAAACCTTAACGCCGTCCACTAACACCTGAAGACGGCAAAGCCGGCCTTGCTCGTTCTAACCGAGACACAGATGTCCTCTCCGGCTGTTTCTTCGTATCTCTCCTACCCCGGGTACAAACTAGAACACTCTTTTGTGCCCCTGGCTGGAGTTTGCGTGTACGTCAGAGAGGGTATCTGTTTTCGGCGACTCGGCAGTTTTGAAGGTACGCACCTGTTCATCTTATGATCTGACCATCCACGCGTCTACGGGTGCCCTTATAGGTTCCATAGCGGTAATGTCGACAGAGACCGACTCATCGACCACGTCCAAATGGCTGCAGACTCCGTGCTACAACAGATCCCATCCGCAGAGATCGTGATGCTCGATGATTTTAACGCCCACCACGCTGAAAGGCTTGGTTCCCGTTTAACCGATCATGCAGGTAGTTCTGTTTGTGACTTTGCCTTGGTATATGTTCTGACACAACTGGTTACTTCGTCTACGCGGATCTCAGATGTGGAGGATCATGTACCTTCCCTATTGGACCTTCTGCTGACCTTTCATCCGGACGGATATCAGACCTCCATCGATGTCTCTCGTGGCTTTTCGGACCATTGTCTGATCCGGAGTACGGTGCCACTCATGCTCCCATCGCAGTTGCAATCTGCAGTTTGCCGCCCTGTATGTCACTATAGGTCGGCCGATTGGGACGGGATGCGGTCTTTTTTTGCATCCTACCCTTGGGGGCGGCTTTGCTTCTCGCCGAATGATCCCAACGTTGTTGCTGATTCTGTCGCTGATGTGGTACTTCAGGGAATTAAATTATTTATTCTCTCTGTGGTGCCTGTCTGCTATAAGCAGGAGTGCTATCGAGCCTGGGCTGACCCATGAACGTCTCGGGATGTAAACACCAGCGCTCTTAAAAAGAAGTATAATTCCGCCTCCAGGTTCTTCAAAAGCGTCATTGCCAAGGCAAGGTCTGGCACATCGGCTGAATTGGCGAGAAGCTAGTTCACCTTTCTTCGGGAACCATTGCATTCTGGTATCTCGCCAAGGCTGTCCAAGGGAACTTCTGACAGCTATCTCTTTCATCTCTGCACAGAGAGGACAACTAACTGGCCCATGCCGCAAAGGAGAAAGCCGATCAGTTAAACTCTCTATTTGTGTCTAACTCGACTCTAGATGACGAGGGGAACACACCGCCGACCATTCCGCGATGCGAGTGCTCCATCCGGATGTGCGGTTGACACAGCGCTTGGTTCGCAAAGCACTCTTCTCCCTGGACGTCAGCAAGTCGAGTGGGCCTGATGGAGTCCCTTCTATTGAGCTGAAGACGTGTGCTCCGGAGTTGGCACCAGTTTTAACGCGTCTTTTCCGGTACTCCTACTCCCAAGGCGTAGTCCCGAATTCATGGAGAAAGCTTTGGTCCACCCGATTCCTAAAAAAGGCGACCGCTCAGACCCGTACAACTAAAGGGCTATCACCATCACCTCCTTTTTCTCCAAAATAGTGTAATGCATTATAAACTGCCAGCTCATAAGGTACCTTCAGGTTGACCAGCTGATCAGTGACCACCAGTACGGTTTTCGTCTAGGTTGATCAGCTGGTGATCTTCTGGTCTACCTGACTCATAGATAGGCGGAGGCAGTAGAGTCCAATGGGGAGGCATTGGCCGTTAGTTTGGACATAGCGAAGGCCTTCGATCGCGTCTGGCACAAAAGCTCGAAGCTTCCTTCCTATGGGCTTACCGAGAAATTGCGCAAATGGGTGACCAGTTTCCTTGCTGATTAGAGCATCAAGGTCGTAGTAGACGGTGCATGCTGCGATTTTAAATCCATTAACGCTGGTGTTCCACAAGTAGCGTGCTATCACAAACGCTGTTTCTTCTGCATATCAATGATATATTCCAAACTGGTAACATACATACGCTGCAAAAAAATGATATGTTGCAAATTAGTAACATTCATTGCTATGCGGATGACAGCACTGGTGATGCGCTATACACCGGCCGTGCCAATATTTCTCGGGAAAACGTCGACGAGTACCGGAATAAACTTGTGTCTGAAGTCGAGACTTTGTTGAACAAAGTCTCGGACTGGGGCGATTGCATCTAGTCCAGTTCAATCCCCAGAAGACACAAGTTTGCGCGTTTACCGCTAAAAAGAACCCCTTTGTCGCATCTCCTCAGTTTCAAGGCACTCTCCTTATTGCCTGTGATGTGCAGTTTCGTGGTTAATTGGAAGAGAAGGCCAAATTGGCCTCTAAAAAGCTTGGCGTGCTCAGGAGAGCGGGACAGTATTTCATGCCGGCACACCGCTTGCAACTTTACAAGGCCCAGGTTCGGTCCCACATGGAATACTGTTACCATCTCTGGGTAGGGGCTACCCAGTGCCAGCTCCTTCCACTTAACTGCATCCAGCGCACCGCAGTTCGAATCGAGTTCTACCCGATTGGCTTGAGTCACTGGCACTGCGTAGAGATGTTGCATCTCTTTGCGTATTTTATCGCATCTACCACGGGGAGTGCTCTGAAGAATTGTTCGGACTAATTCCAGCCGCTCAATTTCACCATCGCACATCGCGGCAAAACTCGGGATACCATCTGGACACCACTGTGCGATTTAGAAGAAGTTTTCTTCCCCGCACAACTTCCTTGTGGAATCGATTAACACCAGTGATTTTTCCGGATCGATACGACTTAGGGACCTTCAAGAAAAGAGTCTACTCTTTTTAAAAGGCCGGCAACGCACCTACAATTCCCTTGGTGTTGCAGTTGTGCATGGTTGGCGGTAGTTACTTACCATCAGGTGAGCCGCATGCTCTTTTGCCCCATCTCTTATATAAAAAAAAAATCTACTTTAAATTTATTCTTATTTTTTTGATTTGACGTTATAGTCTCTCCTAAGCATATAATGAAATTGTAAAAAAAATGTTTTCTTGTAAAAATACTTACCTAATAGTTGGGAAAATAATGAAGTGATATATTGTAATACTAGCTGTTCCCCGCGACTTCGCTCGCGTGTTAGAGTTTTTATTTTTTTTGCGCGGAACTCTAATTCTTTTTGTAAAATAAAAGTAGCCTAAGTTACTCCTTATGACATCAGCTACCTGCTAGTGAAAGACCCGTCAAAATCGGCCCAGCCTTTTCGGAGATTAGCCGGAACAAACAGACAGAAAGACAAACATTTTAAAAATTGTTATTTAGTTATAAGTACCGTATTTACTTTCATATGCATTTAGTAAAAATCTGTTATTTTGACATTACAAACAGACACTTCAATTTTATTTATTTGTATAGATACATATTCACTGTGAAGGAAAATATTTGTGAATAAATTAATGTTTATTTAGGAGTTTTCTTGTTTGGGTACAGTTAAAAACTTGTATACTTCACCAAATCTGCGCACTACCAAGGGGTTAAGCCCTCTTTTACTGGTTCGCCGTTATTTTGCTACCACTATTTGTACCTCATTTTGTGCAGAAAGCGCACCAGAAGGAACTTGGAGTGTTTTTGTTTTAAAATTATTTTCATTTAAATACCTAGTAGCTAATAAAAAATTATTTGTAACAATAGTTGCAAACATAAATTATTTGAAGAAGAAGAATGATTAATAACAGTTTAACAGTTTAGTAGCAGATTAACAGATAATATATTTTATTTTTAAGTACTATATGTACATTATAAAACATGGTTATTTTTGGAAACCTTACAAGGAGTAGGAGGTTGTTAAATTTCGCTATTGTCGACTATTTTGCGTGTAGTGAATCCTAAATGTGATGGTACCTACTTGTGTTTCATATTTCGCTCTAAACTGTGTCAAAAAGGAAGATTATTGATGTGTTTTTAGAGTCTGTTCAAAGTTGGCCTAACAACTCATTGGCACAAGTATGCTGATAAGACATAATATACCACACATCATTGTAGCTCCTTGTGTTGAATGTATTTTATTATATATGGCAGTTTCGTAATATTTAAATAAAGTAAAATACAAAATAATTTGGGGTATAGGAATTGAGCTTGAAAGACTTGTTATTATCGTTTCATAAGACAATTATTTAACTTACCTTTTGTCGCGGTACGAAAACTCTATGACATTTGTTTTCCATTTACATAATTGACACTGTAAAAAAATATGTAAATAATATGGTGTGTATAAATATTATTTAATTAAGTTAATTGCTAAATAGGATGAATGACGTGGAAGCGAAACACTTACGATCCGAAGACGAGAAATTCAATGCTTATTTCACGATCACCAACAACGAGGCAAACGTATTCAACGAGACATCAGAATCACTAATCATGGATGATACAACCACAAACCCAACTTCACCAACAACAATGAATCCAAACCTTACCATCATAGGCACAATGGTTAAAACAGCACTAACTATACAGAATATTACTTCGGGGGAGGAACCATTACAACATTCTTATTATATCTACATTTGGGCGACCGCTATACTTGTATCTATATTGCTTACAACTGAAAGGTCAGTACTGCTTGTTTTTTTTTTCTGAATATTTGCACCAAAACCAGTATCGTACATAGTTGACGCTCATGATCTGTTAAAACAAACCCTACTTAGAAATTGTATGAAGTGTGCAGTTAATGACGTCATGGTTGCCTGTAGTCAAATAAACTACCATTTTTATATTTTTAAATAATAAAAATAAAATGTGAGTCATGAAAATGACTTTAGAATAAGATTTTAGAATCTTCTCCTTCATAGCTCGATATGGGCCTCTCCTGTTTAGACTTTAAATTTGAAATTCAAAACTGGGTAACTTCCCATTTCGTATCGCATGGAATCTTGTAATATGTCGCGGTTTAGCCGCTCGGGACACTAATGTCGCGTTGAGAGGTTGGCTCAAAGTGTGACCGATTCCTCCGCAACCCTTAATATGTCGTGTCAGCATGCGCATCGTAGCCGGAGTCACCCATGTAAAATCAACGACTGATTTTTGCCCTATTTACGTTCGCAAGTTCGAGATCTAGGTTACCTGCCCAACCTATCTCTCTTTGAATCGTCTCTACGAGTACAGTTGAACTTGGCGGCAACTCTAAAACCGGCTGCCTATAGGTCCCTTTACTCCTTCCATGTACCTCGTTCGTTTTAGTGAAACAGTGGAACTCACTTGTTCTTTTTCTGAATTTATTTCATGATAACAGAAAGCAAATATAAGATGCTTTGTGTTCAATGTGATGCTAAAATTATCATTATTTTTACCAAAAAACCCTCTAATATGCTTCTAATGTGCTTCTATATTCATCCTTTCATCATCCATTCATTTTTACCTTTTAGGCACTAACGTACTATGATTAGTAAGATGGAAAATTTAAAAAACTCGTATTAATTCACACATTTTGTATTATTTATTTGTATATTTTAACCTATGAGACAGTTCATTGTATTTCCCATTAAATAATTTTTTATAGGAGACGGGGCAAACGAGCATGCGGCTCATCTGATGGTAAGAGACTACTGCCGCCCGCGAACAACTGCAACACCAGGGGAACCAGGGGAATTGCAGATATGTTGCCGGCCTTTTAAAAAGGAGTAGGATTGTTTCTGGGAGGTTCCTAAGTCGTATCGGTCCGGAAAAATCGCTGATGGTAATCGATTCCACAAGGAAGTTGTGGGAGGAAGAAAACATTTTCTAAATCGCACAGTGGTGGACCGCCAATCATCCAGATGTTGTGTATGGTATCGGGAGTTCTGCCGCGATGTGCGTTCGTGAAATTTGGCGGCTGGGATTAATCCGAACAATTCGTCCGAGTGCCAATGAATCGAGCCGATTGGAAAGGGCTCGGTCGTCGACGATTCGAACCGCTCTGCGCTGGATGCGGTCAAGTGGAAGGCGCTGGCACTGGGGAGCCACTGCCCAGAGATGGGAACAGTATTTCATGTGAGGCCGAGCCTGCGCCTTGTAAAGTTGCAGACGGTATGCCGGCATGAAATACTGTCCCGCTCTGCTGAGCACGCCAAGCTTTTTAGAGGCCAATTTGGCCTTCTCTTCCAAGTGACCACGAAACTGCACGTTATTCGATATGTCGACGCCAAGGATTACGATACTGGCTGAGGCAACAAGGGGAGTGCCTTGAAACTCAGAAGATACGATAAAGGGGTTCTTTTTAGCAGTAAACGCGCAATCTTGTCTGGGGATTAAACTTGACTAGATTTAGTCGCCCCCAATCCGAGACTTTGTTCAACAAAGACTTGACTTCAGATACAAGTTTGTTCCGGTACTCAGCGACGTCTTCCCGAGAACTATTGGCACGGCCGGTGTATAGAGCATCACCAGTGCTGTCATCCGCATAGCAATGAATGTTACCAATTTGCAACATATCATTGATATGTATTGAATGATACAGCACATAGACTTGTGGAACCCCAGCGTTAATAGGCTTGTAGTCGGAGCATGCACCGTCTACAATGATCTTGATGCTCTGATCTGCAAGGAAGCTGGTGATCCTATTGCACAATTTCTCGGGAAGTCCATAGGAAGGGAGCTTCGACAGAAGCGCTTTGTGCCAAACCCGATCGAAGGCCTTCGCAATGTCCAGACTAACGGCCAACGCCTCCCCCTTGGACTCTACTGCCGCCGTCCATCTATGGGTCAGGTAGACCAAAAGATCACCAGCTGATCGACCCCGACGAAAACCGTATTGGCGGTCACTAATCAGCTGGTGATCCTCAAGGTACCGCATGAGCTGGTAGTTAATAATGGATTCCATTATTTTGGAGAACAAGGAGGTGATGGCGATAGGCCTGTAGTCGGACGGGTCTGCACGGTTGCCTTTTTTAGGGATCGGGTGGACAAAAGCTGTCTTCCATGAATTCGGGATTACGCCTAGGGATTAGGAGTACCGTAAAAAACGCGTTAGAAGCGGTGCCAACTCCGGAGCACACGTCCTCAGCACAATTGGGGGAATTCCTTCAGGCCCACTCGACTTGTGGATGTCCAGGGAGAGGAGTGCTTGGCGTATCGAGCACTGTGAGAACCGCACATCTGGCACGGAGCAGTCACACCGCGGGATGGTTGGCGTTGTGTTCCCTTCGTCATCAAGAGTTGAGTTGGATGCAAAAAGGGAGCCTAAAATGTCGGTTTTCTCTTTTGCGGCGTGGACCATTGAGTCGTCTTCCCTGTTCAAAGATGGTAGTGATGGCTTAGAGAAATTCCCTTGGACAGCCTTGGCGAGAGACCAGAATGCACGTGTTCCCGAAGGAAGGCGAACTAGTTTCTCGCCAATACCGTCTATGTGCTCTGACTTTGCCTTGGCAATAACTCTTTTGAAGGACTTGGAGGCGAAGTAATACTTCTTTTTAAGCATGCTGGTGTTTACATCCCGAGTCACCGAAGCCGCAGTCCAGGCTTGATAACACTCCTGCTTACTGCGTAACGCAGTCTTACAGGAGCGACCAAACCAAGGCTGAGATCTGCCTCCGACGGGTACCACAGATGATGGAATAAATAGTTCCATTCCATGTAGCACCACATCAGTGATAGAGTCAGCAACAGCGATCATCCGACGAGAAGCAAACCCGCCTCCATGGGTAGGATGCAAAGAAAAACCGCATTCCGTCCCAATCCGCCGACCTGTAATGCCAAACACTGCGGCAACCTGCAGAACGCAACCGTGAGGGGAGCGTGATTGGCACCACACTCCGGATTAGAAAATGGTCCGAAGAGCCAAGAGGAGCATCGACAGAAACCTCATATCCGTCCGGATGAGAGGTCAGTAAAAGGTCCAACAGGGAAGGTGTATGATCCTACACATCTGGAATCCGCGTAGGCGAAGTAACCAGTTGTGTCAGACCATATGCCTGCGCGTGTCGTACCTCATACTCCGAATCACCAAACGGTATTCGCTGAAGGTCGTACAGGTTTATGCACCAACCTCGGCACGCCCCGATGAGTAGGTGGAGGAAATGTATTAGGATATCTCTAGAGCCATGCCTTCCTCCAAAACCCACTATACGGTGTTAATGGGAGACTTCAACGCAAAAATAGGCACAAGAGAGAACGGTGAGCTGAAATTAGTGAAATTCGAAATAGGGCAACGGAACCCAAGAGGCCAGCAGCTGGCCGACTTCATGGAGACAGAGAGACTCTTTATGATGAACTCTTTCTTACAGAAGCGGCCCCACAGGAAGTGGACCTGGTCGAGCCCCGACGGTGCGACGAAAAATGAGAGTGATTTCATTATGACGACCAGACGTCAACTGTTCAGTGATCGCGAGGGTGAAAACCGGCAGCGACTATCGAATGGTGAGAGGCACACTGAACCTAAACGTTAAGTTGGAGAGGTCACGTCTAATGAAGTCAACGCTCCGTCCCCCTCGTGCTCTAATCCAAAGTCCCGACACCTTTCAGCTCAAGCTACGAAACTGTTTCAGTGCCTAGAAGATTGCAATGCAACGGACGATATGAATGACAAGCTCGTGGAAACTGACCAAGCGGTCGGGGCTAAGTTCTGCAAGACCCGCCGCAGAAGAACACAAAAACTCTCCGATCACACTCTTAATCTCATGCCTGCAGTCTTCAGTAGATTTGACAGCATACAGGCAACTGAACAGACAGATCTCCAAATGCATGCGGCGGGACTTACGCAACTTAACTTAAGCAGTAGCTCGTATTGAAGAAGTGATCGAGCGGAACGAGGGCTCCAAAGTCTTTGCTAGAGATCTGTCTGCCAGAAAGAGCCAACTGTCGAAACTGAAGACCGAGTACGACAGCGTATTTCCGGGACACCTAAGATTTTGAGTGAGATTGAGAGGTACTATGGGCAGTTGTACACATCATTATTGGAGCCACATGCAAGTGTGAGTAACGATCCAAGAGCGAGTCTTATCCGACACTATTCTGATGATATCCCGGACGAGTCTGAGTAAGATTAGAATTGCTCTCCAGCACCTTAAAAACGGCAAGGCCCCAGGCGAGGATGAAATTACAGCGGAGCTTCTGAAAGCGGATGGAAAACCGGTACTTGAAGTCCTTCAGAAGCTCTTTAATTCCGTTTTCGATGGTGGCATTACACTGGAGGCGTCGAGCAGAATTGCGGTGGTCTTGTTCTTCAAGAAAGATGACAAAGCTCACTTGAAGAACTACAGACCGATATCCCTTCTGAGCCGCGTCTGCGCGCTGTTTTCGAGAATCATTACGAATCATCTCGCGCACAGACTTGATGACTTCCAGCCTACCGAACAAGCCGGTTTTCGAAAAGGCTTTAGCACTATAGACCCCGTGCATACCCTTTCGGCAAATTGTACAGATGTCCGAGAAGTACAATTTGCCACTTTGTCTGGCGTATGTGGACTATCAGAAAGCCTTAGATTCCGTCGAAATTTGGGCGATGCTGCAGTCCCTTCAGCGATGCCAAGTTGACTGTCGGTATATCGAAGTGCTGAAGTGCTTGTACAGTAGGGCTACGATGCCTATCCGAGTACAGAACCAGAGTACGAAACCTATTCAATTGCAGAGAGGTGTAAGACAGGGTGACGTTATATCCCCGAAACTCTTCACCGCTGCATTGGAAGACGCTTTCATGTTTCTGGACTGGAAAGGATACAGTATTAACATCAATGGCGAGTACATCACTCACCTTCGATTTGCCGACGATATAGTCCTTATGGCAGAATCGCTGGAGGACCTAAGCACTATGCTCAATGACCTCAATAGTATTTTTCCACGGATAGATCTTAAGATGAACATGAACAAAACAAAGATCATGTTTAATGTCCATGTCACACCTATGCCGGTAGCTGCCAGGCGCACTTAGCACGAAGTTGTTGACGAGTATGTTTACCTAGGACAAATAGTCTGACTAGGTTAGGTAGAGGTCAATCGACGGATTCAACTCGGTTCGGTCAGGTGTACTTGAAAACGAGACTGTACAACCAGTGCGTGTTGCCAGTGATGACCAATGGAACTGAGACGTGGTCATTCACTCCTGGCCGGATGAGGAAGATCAAGGTCGCTCAGCGAGCTATGGAGAGGGTTATGCTCGGAGTTTCTCTGCGTGATAAACTTAGAAATGAGGATATCCGCAGTAGAACCAGAGTGACCGACATAGCCCAACGGATTAGTAAGCTGAAGTGCCAATGGGCCGGCCATATAGCTCGAAGAACCGACAACGGATGGGGAAAAAAGGTTCTTGGGTTGCGGCCTCGTACCGGCGGACGAAGTGTAGGCCGTCCCCCCACTAGATGGAGTGACGACCTGGTAAGATATGCAGGAAGTCGATGGATGCAGGTGGCTCAGGACCGTACTTTGTGGCATTCTTTGGGGGAGGTCTATGTTCAGCAGTGGACTTTTGAAGGGCTGTAATGATGATGAATTTTATTAGTAATAATATTTCACAATTATTTCAGATCTCTGCTGCTTCTTTGGATATGCATGCGCAGCTCTATAAAGTTGCACAATTTAATGTTTAGTAACATTCTGGCGGCCCCAATGCGCTTCTTTGACACTAACCCATCAGGACGAATTCTAAACCGATTTTCCAAAGACATGGGCATTGTTGATGAGATATTACCGAAAATGATCTTGGAAAGTTTGCAGGTAACGTTATAAAGCTTATAATCATAATTTTAGTAGTCTGTACATGTATTGAATAAAACTAATTTTAATGGATTTAATCATGTTATTTTCTAATGTCGACGTTTCAAGTACTTCGCTACTCCCAAGCTCGTGGGTGACGGGCGAACTGTGTCCACACCGCGATAAAATCCGTAAGAATTAGTTTTACCCATTACATATATATTTTTGTCAACACACCACACGTTTCATTCATGATTTAAAAATATAACCATTATAAAGTGTGTAGCGTTGGCAATAGTGAATAACAATTAAATATATACTTACTATTATTATACTCTGACTTATGATGCCTTTGCTGCTGCACTTTGATCCTTGTCCCATTTTGGCATTTTATAGTTTTGAGTAGAGTATGTATGAGGTTATAAAGTAAAGCTAATGCAGATCTTTGATATCTGCAACCAACATTACTGGCTTTCTTACACAGCAGTGGGTGCACTCACGAAATAAGAATGCAAGGTAGAGTATTACTGCAGTATTATTAGTCACGCTTAACATATTGAAGTAGACCTAAGAATTAATAATGTCCTCCAGACCGAATTTTGTTCACGGCGGCCAGTCTCAACAGACATAAGCCATCTGCGCAGTATTTATACGTGGTAGAACCATGCTGCAGCTGTATTACAGGTATAGTTGTAGCACGAATGGATCGGCTCGACTGGGGAAGGACCACGCTCTCACAGAATACCAACGTAAAATAGCAGCTTAACGCTGCTGTGTTTCGTAGGTGAGTGTAGAGAACCGGAGACCCTTTTTACTGGAAACGAGGAATTCCATCTTAGTCCACACGGGTGACAACGCATCTTCATTTTGATTCGTAATCGAGGATAGATGTAGATGTCTATGGGCCACAGAAATCAGTTACAATTAGGTGGACTGTGTGCTCGTTTGTCACCCTTATCTTATATAAAAAAAAACACGATCATAGTGTGTGTGTGTGTGTGTAAATACAGGTGCACTCTCTGTTCTCTAACTCTCATATGCTGATGGGAAGGCAATTCCACGCGATCGGAGAGAGATCAGCCGCAAAACCATTTGCTTTACGTGCATTCCGAGGCACGGGCTAAAACATCGCCAACTTCCTCGCTCCCGGTTGCTACTAATATTTTCTTGACACAAAAACCCAATAACTGATTTTTAGCCCGACCCGGGACTCGACCCTAGGACAGGGACCGGGAACATGATCAGCAGTTGCGCTTATTACCATTTGACCAACGAGGTAGTCACCAAAGAAAACTACTTTAAGGAAACCGTTAAAATTTCAATCGATAATGTTACATTAATGATATTGTTTTTTTAGGTTTTCATGGCTACGCTGGGAATTTTAGTAATGGTGGCTATAGTGAACCCGTACATGTTGCTTACGACTGTTGTCTGCGGCGTGTTTATGTACATGTGGACTTTGGTCTACCTCAGCACAGCGCAAGCCATTAAGAGGTAAATCTTTTGTAACTTATTTCACATATCGTTCTAATAAACAATATAATAGAAAGCCCGAAAATAGCACACCTCCAACACTCATAGTAAAAAGGGACAATCTAGTTAAATAGGTATACATTAGAATGGTAATTAAAAATGTCGGGATCCAAATGTTTATCATTCAGTAATACTATTTTAACTTTATAATTGCCGAATTTCGTATCAAAGTTCACCGACGTTGATATCTCTTGAACGATAAGGATTTTATTAACGAATACTCTCTGTGGCAACCCCGGTGACAAGTAGTTAAATAATATGCTCCCGAAAAATTTCGTAAAAATAAACATTATCTCCTTTGTTATCTGCTTATCATCTGTATGCCGATGACTTGCAATTGTACATACAAGCGAGTATTGATAATATTTCTACAGCGTTGGACATAATTAACAGGGACCTTGAGGTTATTAAGAACTGGTGTGACAGATTTGGCCTGATGGTTAACCCTTCGAAGTGTCAGGCCATAATAATTGGTAGCAGTCGCATGATCCAAAAATTGAAAACAGTAGCACTACCTCCTATCTTTTTTAATAGTACTACTAGATTCAATTGTGTTCTACTGTGAAGGATCTAGGGTTATTAATTGATTCTACTTTGAGTTGGTAAGACCAAACGGCGACCGTTAGCCAGAAAGTCACTCACATCACAGTCAATCGCCTAAAAAAATACTACCATCTGCAATTAAGATAATGCTTGTGCAAAGTTTAATTTTTCCCATAATTGACTATGGCGATGTGTTTTATTTCGACATGAATACAGATCTTCTCAACAAATTGACCGTCTTCTGAATAATGGTCGACGGTGTGTAACCTCGGTTATCAGGAGTCGAGTTGGACTCAAAAAGAGAACCTAAAAAATCGACTTTCTCCTTTGCGGCATGGGCAGGGACTCGTTATCCCTGTGTAGATATGGAACAGATGGCTGACGGAAGTTCCCTTGAACAGCCTTAGCTAAATAACTTAATATAATTAGAAGTAGAGAAGAAAGCTAGAATAGAGAAGAAATACTGCTCATATAAAATATTTGGATCACATCCAGTCAGTCAACTAAAGACGAAAGTTACCGAATAATTCAGTCTTATTTTTGTAATCTATTTATTTCTTTTGTACCAGAAATAAAGAAAGAACAACAAGGAAAATACTAGAGGCACTTACTCTATTCTTTATTGAGAAAAAGTTTTATTCTGTACATAAGTGGTAGGTTACAAAGACAAACCCAGCGCCCCCTCGACCCATGCGCCCAAGACTCCAGCCTAGTTGGCCTGTGGGTAAATCAGGCCCTGACAATAACTAGATCCAAAGTAAAAAACTGCGGTTGCCAACCCGCCTGCCAAAAGAGGAAACTAAACTATGGCAAATCCCAACCCCTGCCCCTCCCCTTATGAGGTTATCTGTGGGTAGGTATATATTTGATTTAAATATATTGTAATGAATGGATGAACAACGTTTATTTGATTTCAACATAATTTCGGAAACTGTTAGAACTCGTCAAAACGTCGTCATCTATGCAGAGGGACTTTTGTCTTTAAGCGACTTCGTAAAATGCCGCTGAGCGGTGCGCTTTGAAAAAATGCTTTGGTGGCTGTATCAGTGACTTCACTGCGGCCGTAGGTGTGGCACTTGTCAATTAGTTAAGATATAAATAATATTTTAAGAAATATTAAATATTACCTGATTACATACACCAAAATTCCATTTATAGCAACCAAAAAAAAATTCATTATCATAATTGTCATGCCCATGTGTACACCTATACGTCCCTAAAGCTACCAACAACCGGTTGCTTGTCACATACTCCATATACTATGAATTATTTTTATGGACTTCATGTCAAAAATTTTTTCCAATTTTTGATAATATTTTAACTTTTAACTTAACTGTTTTTAACAGAGTGGAAGGCGTATCTCGTAGTCCCGTATTCTCACACGTATCGGCCAGTATGGCGGGTCTGACCACAATTCGCGCAAGTAATGCTGAAGAGATGCTCCGCATACAGTTCGATGAAAAACAAGACGTGCACACGGCGGCGTGGTATGGTACACCCATGTGATCTTATTTCTATTTAATATTCCACAACTACTATGCGCGCATGATAATAATAATAATGTCAAAGATTATTATATAAGTATTGGATTAACTACCAACTTTTCCCCTTACACGTCATTTTTAAGATAAGATACCTTGTAAGCTTATAAAAAAAATCATCACCATCATCATAATAGCCCATCACAAGTTCACTGCTGAAATATCAGATTGACAGTCCATGTTTGACTCAGTACTATTTTAAAAATGTTATTTACAAAAATTATACATTGCGATACAAAATAATTGATTTTACTACATGCTTGAGTTGACGCAAAACATTGGGAGAAAATCTGTATGTATGGGAAATAAAATGAAAGGTCGGAGAAAAGTTTCTTCGTATATTATATACAAATTCTAGACATTTTTTTTTCAAAGTTTAATTACATTTAATTATAATACTTCGGTTTCATTAGGTTTCAATAAAGAATCGCAAATGAGTACACGATTCATTAGGCTTCTTTCAATAAGCTCGTGTGGTACCCAAATATTGAGCTTTTTTTGTATAGCCAGAATTTTTCATGTGGGTCAAAACTGATTTGTGATGAATGAAAAAACGGTTATGTAGTAACTACTAATATGCCTATTTTACTCCACTTTTTCAAAAATGGTATCGACTTTATCTTCATAAGAGCGACCAGAGCGAGCTGGATCTTTGACATCAAAATCCCCGGACTGAAATCGCTTCAACCAACTATGTGCTACTTTCACTGACACTGCATTAGATCCATAAACGTTACAAATTTATTTCGTGGTATGAGTCGCATTTTATCTTTTTTGTTTAAAAACTTCAGATTGTATCAAATTTCTTCGTTAGATCCACTAAATTTGGTGGATAGAAAAACAATTGAAAAATGGCGTTAAAGTGTTTTTTACTTTTTCTTTTTCTTAATGTCCTATATGTATTGATATTAAAACCAGCCAGATACAAACAGAACAACCAAAGAGATTTTTCTTTAATTTTATACAAACAAAATACGAAAAACTTTGTTCCCGACCTATAATAGGTTTTTGATGACATGGGAAATCCGCCGCCGAACATACCTTTTCGTACACATCAATGTAATATCCTGATTCAGATTGATATTTTTTCTAAGGAATTTCCTTTGAATTTGAACCACACTATTATCAAAAACAAACTTTAAAATATGTATAAATAACAAGCCCTTTATTTCAGGTACTTGACACTAACATCAAACACCGCTTTCTCGATATGGCTAAGTCTTATATCGGCCGTCTATGTTATTGTTGTAGCCTATACGTTCCTTTTATTGGATGACGGTAAGATTTTATATATTATTAGAACCTTTATCAAATAACATCATATGTTGTTACCTTTACCATTTTATGACACTGGTCTCGAAACTTTGAATTACTAAGTTATTATCAAAATAGAGCAGTGTAACGCACCCTTAGCTTTTGGATACTGACTGCTTATCTGCAATAACATTTTTTATCTTCTATATATTACAGCTATATTGTGAAATCTTACTGGCTATTGAAATAGCAGGATTGGGCTAACAGCAAATAAATAAATAAGAAAAGTCCAGAGTTGAATATGGACTCCTTCAGTTGTAGGGTGAAATTTTCTTAACTGCCATGCTTAGCACGTGGATTAACTATCGCTGAACCAGAAGTTTCGCATCTTTAACCTTGCTGGTCTGTCGCCAGTCAATTTCAATAGTATACGACCATCTAGCGAATGCCTATATGCTCAATCATTATGATTTACTACATATTGCTATTTACCATTTACCACCAGGTAGGATTGTAGTAAAGCACATGAGTGCTTATCTTTATGATCCTATACTATAGCAATTGTAATCGTGTTCTATAAACATTGTACGGCTCTACGAATTAAATAACTATATCGATTAAATTTACTGGTGGTTTACCGGGGTGAAAAATCTTTATAGCTATCATTTCATTTTTCTCCGTGTTTTCTAGCACAAAGCAACAAAGATTAACTTGCGCACACAATATGATTGGTAATTTCGTCACAGATGTCTTCTTCTCAATAGTCTAAAGTCTTTTTTTTTGTAATAGATAAGCACTAAAACTACTAAACTGATTTAAAAATTCTTTCACCTATAGAATCTCTCTGTGATAATCACTGATAATATATATCAGTGAGTATCACAGACTACATTTTATTTCAAAAATAGGATTATCATGAGGTGCTCATATAACGGACTTAAGGTGACACTAGTCGACATGATTTCCATAGAAATTTCGGAGGGGTTTTACTCCGCTGTTTGACAGTGTACATCCTAAATTAAACATGATATCGTTTTGTCTCATTATTAAATTTGTCTGTACGGAAACAGAATAGTAAAATAAAATGTTATTAAAAAGTTACGAGCTACCAAAGATTCGTTTTTATTGCCAATTTTAACACAACTTTGGGCGTAAATTAGTAATAAAAGAAGTGTAAAATTTCCAAAACAAAGTCGGTCCCGACACAGCCTAATTATCGAAAAATTCAATAAATTTTATTTGTAATTGATTAATGCAGTGGTTTTTTCATAAAACCCCTTCTTCCAAAGGCCTTTTCGTATTTTTTTACGCGCGCATGTTACTATGAATTATCGTGCATCTCACTGAATAATGTTTCCCCCGGTGCGGTGCGGGAGGACGATGCTTACACACACATGCACAGGCGGTGACGCGCGCTTATTCGAGTTTTATTCGAAACGAAAAGACTTGCTATTTTGTAATTTGGACGCCAAAGACAAACGACGGCATGAAAATTGTTATAATTGAAAGAGATGATGCGTTTTGGACGACAGACAATATTTTAAAATTTACGTCTGTAATATAATATAATTATAAAAGTAAAAAAAAAGTAAAGTCTATATTCGATTACTAAGTATATAAAATTGCAACAATTTAATTGGTGCCGACGGGGATCGAACCCGGATTGCTCGCGTAATGTGATACTTACAGCGAGCGCTAACCATCTGAGCTACCACGGCTCCCAATGCAAGTTTTATAAATAAATAAAGAATTACAAAACAGTTTAATTATTTATTAGACGACTTTTGCGGCGGACAAACAAAGTATATTATGTGGGATTTTCATAGGTACCTACTGTTATTACCTAGATACCTACTACCTACAATACAACAAAATGTCACAAAACGTCGCCACGTCGTGGCCACAAAATTGTAAACTTTAGGTAGGTACGTCAGTACTAAGAAAACAATCTTGATGGGTCACTTGTCTTGATAGAAACCTGTGCTTACGTTTAGTGATACTTATTGAGTATATATAAAAAAGTAAGAAGACAGGTAAGTATTTTTGAAAACAATTTATAGGTAGGCAGAACTAATTACGATTATTATCTAAATATTATAAATGCAAAAGTTTGGATATTTGGATGGACGGATGAATGGATGTATGTTACTCAGTCACGCCAGAACGGCTAAAGGGATCTGGATGATATTTTGCTCAGAGATAGGTTATAGTATGGATTTTTTTTTAAAAAGTTACCCCATACTAGGATTTTCTCCTGTATCGTGGAGGCAGTTTACAAACATTCAGACCCGAAACAATTATTTGTAGGCCATACAAATACTTGTGCGATTGATTCGAACCCGCGGCTCCCAGTACAACAATTCATTGCTAAGCCACTGCGCCACAGAGCTGTCAAATAACATATATGATACGGTTTATTCAGGTATTTCGTTCCCGTGGGATAATTTTCGAGTTACACACGTTCGAAGCCGAACTCTTGAGTGATCGCTGCATGACCACTCGGGAAAAACTAAACATAATAAAATAAGCAATCTATATTAGGTATATAGAGCCACAAAGGTATAATATGAAGCGATAAAGCAGCACCTAATAATTTCGCGGTTTCACCCGCGTCATCACGTGTCCGAGATGCGTGGCATGACATGACACCTAGTTCAAGCATTTTATAATTGCAATAAAATATTTTATTTGATTGTAATGTATGGAAAAATTGTCATGATTAATGGAGTACTTTTATTTTATCTGTCGGCATATTATGCGCGGTTTTTTTCAGTTTTAAAGAAAAACGTACACGATACATGAAAAGTGTGTAGGCAAGAAATGATTCTTGATAAATTTGCTATCAACCTCTTATACTTATTAATCAATTAAATTTAAACTTTCAAAATACCATAGCAACGTGAAATGAAAGAGTTCAGAAATAAAGATGTAACTAATCATTGTTACGCTCACCCGGGGAAATACGAGTAGATAAAAGTACTCAATTAATTATATTTTAGTTACTAGCTGTTCCCCACGACTTCGTCCGCGTTTAGTTTAGGGCGTTAATTTTGTTGCAAAGACACCTAATAATTTTTCTAAAATTTAAGCAGTCTAAGTTACTTCTTATAACATGAGCTACGAGTATCTACTAGTGAAAGTCCCGTCAAAATCGGTCCAGCCGTTTTGGAAATTAACCGGAACAGACTGACAGACATACAAAAATGTTAAAAATTGTATTAATGTTATAAGTACCGTATACAATTTCATACGCAATTAGTAAAAAGCTGTTATTTTGACATTACAAACAGACACTTCAATTTTATTTATTTGTGTAGATATAGATAACGATTGAACTAACGGCTAACCTAACCTCGCTCATAGAAGCTTTCAATACTGGCTTCTCAGTTCGCACCGGGCTAGGGGTTATGCGTTGTTTGCGAGTCAAGCCAAGTATTGAATTATTTCAATTTTACATTATCTCTTAAACTATGTACTATATAAACATGGTATAAAGAACGAAGTTTATCTTCATAAAATTGTCTTGATAATGAAGTAACTTTCGTTCGTAAGGTGCCTAATAATTATTTTTTTTGTCACAAAATGCCTAATTGTGGCTTATATATAAGAAATAGACATATGGTATCGCAACTTTTTTTTAGACGGAGTAAAGATCTATATTTTTCTAGAACATTGTATTTACGTATCCCGAACCATAACAGCGCTTTTTCTTCTGACTTCTTTAACAAATATAGGCTAGCTGAGATATATAGCCTAATGCTATATAGCCTATACTATTCAACATGAGTCTGGCTATAATATCCAAAAAAGATTTTTCAAATCGGACTGGTAGTTCCAGAGATTAGCACGTTTAAACAAACAAAAACACTCTTCTGCTTTATTATATTAGTATATAGATGTTGCATCGTGTTCGTGTAACTTCGTTTTTATTCTAACGGTTCGGAACACCGTACGAACAAGACATGCGTGAATACTAGTGTCGATATGCTCATCACTGATACTATCTCTGTCGGGCACGATGCCAGGTGAGACAGCGTGCTTTTTGACCGCGCCCACCAGCGAGTTCGAGCCCGCGACTTGTGCCACCTTAAGCAGAAAAGTTCATTATTTTTTCTTTTTATTCGTTAAAACGACTTCAAAGTTTTTACCCTTATCAACGAAAATCTCTGTTGTTCAAACTCTCATTTTACCAACATTAGATTACGCTGATGTCTGTATTTTGGATGCTATAGAGGAGCAATTAAACAAATTTGCGCGATTGCATTCGGTATATTTTTGGATTCAAGAAGTTCAACCACGTATCTAAATACAGAAAGCAGCTCAAGTGGCTGCTGATTCGATATCGCAGGAACTGTCGTATCCTGTTTTCTTACACAGTCTAAATTTCCTTTCATACCTCCGTAATCGATTTACCTTTCTTAAAATCCCAGATGCAGTTTGTAGATCTCACCTGAAAACCCTTTTAAAATTCCCATCCTTTAAAGCTCATTCATATTGTAACAGTGACATTGTTCAAAAAACGTGTAAAAGAACATTATTTATCTCTGTCTTCTATATATTAATAATGTAAATACATACATGATAAAATATATATTTTTATCATATATGTATTGTATACTAACAAAGTGCACACCTTATTATCTTTTATTAATCACATATTTTTGTTACTGGCCTACTGGAAGAAATTTCATAACGAGGTAATTACCGCCCTTGTACAAGCTCTTCACCACGTTGTGTCCTTTTCGTTGTTTGTGTGTACATAAGTTTAGATAAATAAAAAATGACTTTCTCTCTTCTCAGTTTCGCTGCTCTTACCATCTTTACGCTGATGATCTGCAAATATATACTTAAGCAGACGTCAACTCTTTAAGTCAGCCAAGTTTCCAGACTCAATATGGAATTAACGAATCTCTACAATTGTGTCATATGTTTGGTTTTAGTGTTAATCCCAATAAATGCCAAGCAGTAATAATTGATAGTAATCAATAATTGTGAAAGCTTGATGTCAGTTGCGTTCCGCCTGT